GGTATAATACAACGTTATATATAGCGATGTATAATACCGCGTTATATATGTTTGTGGGCCCACCAATTAGTCTCCTGCGGTTAACTGACATAACAGTAATTCAAATATATATATAGCGCGCTATAATACAATGCTATACCTTTTTTGTGGGCCCACCAATAAGTCTCCTGCGGTTAACTGACATAACAATAATTCAAATTGGTATAGCGCGGTGTAATACCGCGCTATACATCAAAAAATTCAGCCCCCCGAGCTAGGCCTTGCCTTATTTAAAGGCGTTAGGATTTTATGAAAATCTATTCAAAAAATATTCTAACTTCCGTTCAAACTTTTCTTCTTGTTATCAAGCATCTTTTATAATGTCCGAAGAGCAAAAAATAAGGGTTTCATTATATTGGGGGAGTGGGGTTGTAGCGGAGAATAACTCTGTGAGGTATAATTTATCTCCACAATGTCATGTTAAATTGCCGCTTACAATGGAGTACGATAAATTGGTATCGTTGTTACGTAAAAAAATGAGTGTGAGAAAACGTTCGGTGAACCTTAAAGTAACCGGTAGATATCCGTATTCTGTGACTTCGCAGGGGTTTGCTTTTTATTCTGAGTTTAACATCGAGGATGATGAAACTCTTAGAGATTTTTTGCGGATTCCGGATGAATACAAGGAATTTATTGTGATAAAATTGTTGGAAATGTACATCAAGGTTGAAGACGTTCCCAATAATGAGGTTGCGCATAGTAGGGATAACCCGCAGTCATCGGGTTGTTATTCTGGAGTAGTTTTAGCCGGACAGATTCCGGATGAAAGAGTTTGCCTTGATTTAAACTTATCACCGGCGAATGAGCAGCGAGGAAATAATTTCTCTCCTACTTTACATAATCCACAAGACGACTGATAAACTTCAATTTTTCTACGCTTTAACGAAGTTTATTTTTTGTTGAATTGAATTTGTATTAGCACTCATATTTTCCACATGGGGTACCGTCCGGATATGAATTTTACAAGTTATGACCCCACGCCTAGTTTGAATATGCATAGTTCTAGCGTGTTGGATCACGGTGGTCTATTCGGGAGTCATCACCAACAAGAAAATGTCCATCATGGAATGTCAACACAGTAAGACTTGTAAGTGAAGTGATATAGCTATATGTAAAGTATTTATCAATTTGAGTAGCTTATTATTTTGTTCTTTTTGTGCAGTGAAAACGAGCAACTTGATGGTCCTGACCTCACTCAGTTACCAGTAGACGACGTATTTACTCGTGATTTGGCAGATGCGCAGATTCAGGAAGATAATAGTGATTATGACAACAATGTCGATGAATCTAGAGATGACACACCCTTCCTTGACGAGGGTGATGATGAGGAGGAAGTGAATGTCGAACCTGAGTTGACGAGGGAGCATGCTCCTCCACCTCCTGTTAGACCAAGAGTGTACGAGTCCCGCGTGTCGTTTCATGAGCGGAATATTCCCTACCTTGATAATTTGCCAAGTATGCCGGATGTGGATGCCCTCGCAAGGGATCTTGACGAAGTTCGGTCAGCAATGTGGGATGAGTCTAGACCAACGGTGCTGGCAAAGGGCATGTATTTTCCCGATAAAGCTCGCCTAATCAGGGCTATAAAAATCTACAGCGTAAGAGAGTGCCGTGAGATGACGGTAAGGGAGTCAACTCCGGAGGTATATAAGGCTGTATGTCGTAGAGACTTTATTGGTTGTAACTGGATATTGCGTGCGAGCAAGAAGAAATCAGGATTGTGGAAAGTGGGTAAATATATTAGCACCCACAGATGTGAAATGGACACATCCAATAAGAATCACTTCAACTTGGATGTAGACTTGATTTCTCTTGTCTTGATTCCATACTTGGAAGTGTCCATTAGGTACAAGATCAAAGAGTGTATTACAGCCGTTCACCAGAAATATGGCGTTACTATAACAAAAAGAAAGGCATATTTCGGGCGCAAACGTGCATTTGAAATTATTTATGGTGACTGGGATAAGTCATTTTCATCTCTACCCGGGTACATGGCCGCACTGAAACACTTTAACCCCGGGACTGTTGTTAAATGGAGGCATGAGCGGAGTCCGGGAATACCGGAATATATATTCAGCTACGTGTTCTAGGCATTTAAACCAACAATTGATGGTTTTGTGCATTGCCGTCCGGTAATTTCCATAGATGGTACTCATGTCCATGGAAAGTATGATATTAAGATGTTGATCGCCGTTGCAGTACATGCCAATGGACAAATATTTCCACTAGCTTTTGCCATTTGTGCCAATGAAAGCAAAATGACGTAGACGTTATTATTGAACCACTTGAGCAGCACGTTGTTAAATAGCGTTCAGGTATTTGTCTAATATCTGATCGGCATGGTGGTATTTTAAGTTCTGTACGGCATTTGACAGAATGGTAGGAACCCTATGCATACCACCGTTACTGTGTGAGGCACCTGAAGTTCAATTTCCAGAAGAAATATCCCAACAAGGACTTGCATGATTTAATGTGGATGGCTGCAATTGAGCACCAGCAGTGCAAATTCAGGAGGCGCATGGAAGCGATCCGACAATTAGACGAAAGAGCCTATAATCGGCATATAATCGCCCGGCACATATGCCTGTACATGTAAGCGAGAACAGCAGCACCCCAGTTGTACTGGGATAAAGCATCTAGCAGTTGAACATGATGTAGAAATCGCAAACTCACTAGATTTTCCGAAGTGTTCGGGAACAAGACCGCCCCCCCCCCCGAAAAAAAAAAAGAAGGAGCAGCACCAACCTCGTGTACCGGTGAATATGTAGATCATCTGTCTCGCCGGTGATGTCGGGGTGCAATACCTCCAAATGCTGTCTAATAGCTGTCAAACCCATGCGACTGGCCCCTGAATGTGCAGTCTCATCCTGTGGCCTGAAACCAGTGAGTTGCTGCAGCAAGTCCAAATACTAGACACGCGACATATATCTCATACCCTAAGGCAGTGCAACGGCCAGTCCATCAGCAGGCAGCCCATATAAAACCTCAACATCCTGCAGCGTGATGGTGGCCTCGCCAATGGGCAGGTGAAAGTGTGCGTCTCCGGTCGCCACCGCTCTATCCAGGCCGTGATCAGAGACCAGTCGAGCTGCAGCCGCCCAAACTCAAAAATCCTATAGAAGCCGATTTCCCTCACGCACTAGACTACACGGGGATGGAAAGGTGTGTCCCTCATAAAGTCCCACAAGTTGTCCACTCTCCTGGCGCGGAGAGTCTGGTCCAGTAGCTCTCCCTCCCATACGTAGGCGGACCTATGATCGCCTTGTAACACTAATAGCTCACCGGAGAAAGGTCCAGGATGCACAGGCGGCACGTCCATGTCGTCTACTGTAAATTAAACAATATTAATTGTGTATTTATTTTGTAATTTAAATAATTAATTTTTAATTGGACAGAGTATATATCTATGGGTTCCAGGATCAATATTTGAGGCCCAGTAGCACCAAGCTATCCTGAATTCTTATGTGTGTCAATTTCAATATTTTTAGAATTTTGTTTGTTTTATAAATTAAATAATTAATTTTTAATTGGACAGCGTATATATCTATGGGTTCCAGGCTCGATATTTGAGGCCCAGTAGCACCAAGCTATCCTGAATTCTTATGTGTGTCAATTTTAATATTTTCATAATTTTGTGTTTTTTGTTTTGTAAATTAAATAATTAATTTTTAATTGGACAGCGTATATATCTATGGGTTCCGGGCTAGATATTTGAGGCCCAGTAGCACCAAATTATCATGAATTCTTATGTGTGACAATTTTAATATTTTCATAATTTTGTATTTTTTGTTTTGTAAATTAAATAATTAATTTTTGTAAATTGTAATTGGACAGAGTTTGTGTTTGATCTATCAATATAGTAGATACTTAAACTACAGGGATTCTACACTGAAAGGCTCTACATTTTACTACGCTAAAAGGCTTTATATTTTACTACGCTAAAAGGGCACTAGTATTTAAGCAAATAAATAATCTAAACTAAATAAAAACAACAAATATATTTTAATAACATAACATTCACGAAATTACATATAAAACAGTAAAAGAAATTTATGAACATTTTTATTAACAAAAAAAAATGATTTCTCAACTTTTAAATATATTTTTAAAACACTAATATCTTAATCCGGATAAAAATAACGTGCTAGTTTAATCGCAAACAAAACACAACAACAACATGGAAACACATTGAAGACAACTAATATGCATTATTATACGAGTTTCGACATAAACTAAATCGGAATATCTCGATTTATGTTTTTAGAAAAGTCGATAAATTGAAATTTTGAGCCCGAAACGAGGAAACCACAACAATAGAGGGCTTTTTAATGAACAAATATAACGCGGTATTATACCGCGTTATACTTTAACGGCATAAACACCGATAAAGTATAGGGTGGTATAATACCGCGTTATATATAGAAATGTAACCTTTTTTTTTAAGCACTAGAAACGTATTTTGAGTCCAAAAATCCAACATTTAGGTTTCGGACTCAGTCCCACTAACATAGATCCCAGATAACTTTATTCACCAAAAGGCTCTGGCAAATAGGAAGTGAACACTTGGGGTTTTTTGCGACTTTTGGTGGAATTGAACCCTGGTCTCCAATGATTTTCATCCCACTTCATTGAGGGGTGTATTGATCTTCTTACTCTTCGAAGAATAAAATATACAATAACAACAACTCAGTGAAATCGCACTACTGTGGTTTGGGGAGGATAGTGTGTACGCAGACCTTACCCCTTCCCCGAGGATATAGAGGTTGTTTCCCATAGACCTTTGGCCCAGGAAGACAATCGGAGAATACAATATATGAGGTGTTAATCCACATGTTTTTGCTGCCAATAGATGCATGCTTCCGTGATATGTTTTATTAACTTCTAGCTTTCTCTTATCTTCAAACTTATTCTCCCCTTGACATCTCCAATTTCGCCAGTCAGCAGCTCATTGGCCAGGAGCATTTCAAAGCAATCCACTAAGATGAGAAATAGCCATTGCGAGAGCTCAGTTATGTGCCATCATCAAGTTCCTGTCAGATGGTTTTCATCTGCTTCTTTGTTTCTGTAAATTATGAGTTTTGACAACCCTTTGCACTCACTTTTTCTATGAATTCTAGGCACTCAATTCAATTTCTATGAATTCAACTTCTTCCCGAGCCTCCTAAAATATAAGAATTTGTTCAAATGAAAAACTTAAGACATGGAGCCTGGAGAACGTAAGAGCATAATTTGGAAATGCAGAAATCTCATGGTCCACAAAGCGCTTAGGCAGGAGTCGCTTTGGCATGTCCTGTGGCCTGACATCTTCAAACTCCAGTAGCAGCTCCTTCACGGGTGCAGTAATGGGACCCGAGGAGCGTTCTATATCTTCAACGCAGAGGGTTGCCAAGAACGTAGCTTCATGTCTTTTGACCCCCTTCTTCAACTGCAAGGCCGAGATGTTCTCAGCGGCCATCTTCCTAGGCATGCACGGGATAATGCAGGGCTTGGCCCGTTTGCTCCCATCATCAGTAACATGTCAGCATACGCTACGGGCATGGTGTTGGTTTGCCTCAGGAACTCCAATCCAACTATCAACTCGAAGTCATTTATAATCACCACGCGCAGGTTGAATTTTCCTTCGTAAGGGCCAAGCTTCACTGGCAGAATGAGGACAATGTCAGGCATATATTGTCCCTGAGTTAACAAGTTATGCAAGTCATGTAACAAACCAAGCAAAACGAGAATCATATCTCTTGAAAACTCTAGTGCTGTATTTGGCGCCCTTCAAGGTCACTAAAAGAGAACAATAATAGAAGATGTGATTTTTAAGAATCTATCAATAAAGGGTATTTATATGGAGACTGATTTTTCATTTTTTATTTTCCTAATCTTGCGATTATAGTTCTTATAGTTCTGTATGCTATAGCTTCCGGTCTTCATAAATTTTTGAGTTGATCTGAACTCTGCATGACGGGTAAGATAGACTAAGTGGACCGGAAAAGCCCTAGCCAAATCCAGATTTTGAGCTCTAACCAATCACATTGCATTCTCAAAAAATCAGAACACTGGTTATAACGAATATTTAACCAAATGAATTATCTATCCTCTAAGTAGATATAAACTTCAGCCCTATGCCAAATAAGTTAATCAAATCTGACCACCAACATAATTCAAATTCAACTTCAAAATATAAACTCAAGTGTTAAAAGGTCAGAATGTGTTACCAATGAGCATACAAATACTCAATTTCTTAGGAAAAGGCCAGATGTATCAGAAACATGTTTGCTTAGAAGCCATAGATAAAACATAAAACAAGATCATTGCCAAACAGCGATTCAAACTTCAAATCTTCAGAGTATGCATTAAAAGAAAATCAAAGTAGTTCCTGGATTGCTGTTTGTAGAAAATTTACCTGCTTTTACATTCATGAAAAACAACCAACTCTATTCTGAATACCAGCCATATGAATTGCCCGCCATTACTTAAAAAAAACAATTTCCCACTTTAGACCAGAAGAACAGCTGTTTAAACAATGTTGCATACTATGCTGAATTCACTAGTTTATGGAAGAACATCATACCTGAACTCACTCCTCTAAAGCTGAAAGTTCTTCTCATAACGAGTTATCAACATTGGGGCGTTTAATGGACGCCTTCTGGTATCTCAGTTTTTCAATCTCCTTCTCCAGAAAGTCCAAAGTTGTGTCAGTGACATGATTGGGGGCACACCCTGCTTCCAACATCATCCTTAAAAACTTGTAAGCTTGCTTAAGCTGACCTGCCTTGGCATGAACTTCAATTAGTGTATTGTAAGTGACAACATCTGGATTGATTCCACTATCTTTCATCTGCCGGAAAAGCTTGTGTACTTCCTCAATTCTTCCAGCCTTCCCGAGCGCATTTATCAAGGTGTTATACATTACAATGTCAAGGTAACCCCCCTGTTTCATCAGCTTGTCGAGCACTGCACCAGCAAGATCAGCCCTTCCCATCTTTCCCAACCCCTGGATTATCACATTGTAAGTTGCTACATCAGCAGGGCAAACCTTCTCGCCCATTTCCTGTAAAACACCCAAAGCCTGGTCGAAATATCCCTTCTTGACAAATGAACCCATCATAGAGTTGTAAGTATAACTAACCGGGTCAGCACCCATGCTGGTGAAAATTTCAAATAACTTACAGGCCATGCTCAATTTTCCTTTGGCCAAAAATATTGATAAGAAGGTATTCACCATGCCAATATCAAAAGAATCTGCACCTTTAGTGTCTACTCGTTTTGCTCCGGTAAGAGAGAATGTTCTTGTAGCATGACTTTGGGAGCTCGCTTTACTAGCCAGCATGTCCATATATGGTGATGATGACCACGGATCCCTCTCATCCTCTGCCCCAAGGGCAGTATCAGTCGCAGGGTCTGTTAAATCTTCTAGGCTTAGAATATCACCAAAGTTCCCATTCGATGGAAAAATGGGTGTGAAATCCTTTTCTCTGCTCTGTGGAGCTTTCATTGTAACTTCCATACTGTCTTTCCACCTAAGAATAATTGGAACTAAATTGTTCTCCCTAACGTGTTTCACAAGCCTCTCTGTATAGTCCCAATGCCCCTCCCAGTAAATTGCAATCAAGAGAGAAGTAATGGTAACCAAATCAACAATAAACCCTCTAGCTTCCATCTCTTCCACCAACTTCAGTGCTTCATCAAGCCTACCTTCCTGACAAAGATGCAAAATGACAATGCTATAAGTAACCCCATCCACAAAATTATTACTTTTCTTCTTCAAATCGCAGAATAGGGTATAAGCAGCCAAAGCCCTCCCATTCTTAAACAAGCCATCAATAAGAATATTATAGGTCCAGCAGCTGGCTCGAACACCATCATCTTCAATCATTTTCTGAAACAAATTGCACGCATCTGTCAACTTTCTCGCCTTGAGCAATCCATTTAAGAGGGAGTTATAAACAATAGTATCCGGACGTATACCGTTATACTGCATCTCACTGAACACTTTTATCGCATCATTTATCAGGTAAGCCTTAGAGCAACCTTGTATAACAATTCGATAAGTATAAACATCAGGTTCCAAACCCGAAGATCCCTTCAATTCCTCCCACACAACAAGAGCATCCTTGACCTTCCCGAGCAAGCAAAGCACATGAATCAAGCTATTATAAGTGCACAAGTCAGGACTAAACCAACTTCCCCTTTCCTTCATTTCTTTAAAAAGACTCAAGCAACTAGACAAATCCCCCCAACAGCCGAATGCGTGAATGCATATATTATATCCCCATCTATCCAACGGAAAAATATTCTTCTTTCCTCTAAGCTTATCAAAAACTTGTTTAAATTCATCCCTCATATTAGCCCTCTTAAGACCAACAAGCAACACATTACATGCAACAGCATCGCTAATCCCAATGCTATTACCATTCCCATCATTAGTTTCCAACAATTTAAGGAAAATTGACAAAGCTAAATTAACTTGATTTTTTTTTACAAGTGCAATAAGTACAGAATTATATACATCAGGACTTAAACAATTAATATTAGAATTTTCCAGATTACTCTCCATGAATTCCAAAATCTCAAGAGCTGAATTAAAATTACCAGCTCGAGTAAACGAGTCGAGCAACAACTTAAATGTGGCCGAATTAAGCGACACTCCATCATGCTTCATGGAGTTGAGGAGAACGAAAATATCTTCCCAGTGATTGTGAGAATAATAATAGCAAATGGATCTGAACATTTGAGAGTACGTTTCGGTGGAGTGTTTGAAATTGGGCCTGAGAGAGCACCATTTGAAGAAGTCGAGTTTAGTGGCGGCGTCTAAATTGTTACGGCGAAGGATTTGAAGGACTAGGTTTTCTGATAGGGGAATTGAATCGTTGTATTTTTCTAGGTTACGTGTTCCTCCTGGTGCTGTCAAAGCTTTTGTAATTGAAGCGACAACGAGTAAGTTTCCAATCTTCCATGCTGCCGGAGACCTCGTGCCGGCGAATTTGGCTCCGACGACGGTGAAGTGTCTTCTAGTGTAGAAAATTGAGAGGTTTCTTCGTGCTTTTGTGGCCATACCAGCGGTAATGGAGCTGAAGGTTTTTGATTAATTGCATTTTGCGGGAGAAACAAAGATGGCGGAAACTAATGCTGTAATTACATTTTAAACCCTTTTTATTTTTGTTGTTTGTCTCAATTTCGCTTAATCAACCCGTTGCTTTTAGTAATTTGGTCAATTCAACTAAGTTACATTTTAAATTTTACTAATTTCAAGAATTTCAAAATAGTATAAAATAAAAAATAATTATAAGATTACATTAAAATCACAAAATTATATTCAAATAATCTATTTAAAATATTTATAAATTATAATTCAACTATGAATAATACGAAAAGTATGACATATATCATATTATGCAAATTAGTTGCGACGTCGTTACAACTCAAACATCAAATGTAATGTATTCGATGCGAATTCTTATATGTATCTCTTAAGGAGTAATGAATCTTGAAAGAATTTCGATACTATCATTTAATATTTTTTTAAATACTCTTTTTATTTAATATGCTTTCTATTTAAAAAAGAATTTATATAAAAACATATGAGTTTCAACAAATTAATAAAGTGACACATAATTCACCATATTATACCATGATAACTAATTATTAGTAAATAGTTACTAGCTAATATTGGGCTATTAAATTAATAAGTATTGCATCTCGTAAACATGAAAAAAATAATATCTAGGAAATTAATTATAAAAAAATTATGGACTATTATATAATAAAGACATAATAATAGTTAATAAATAAATACTTTTAAATGAAGATTTATTTAAAATTTACTATCATAGCAGTTTCAGTGAATAATATGCGATAATTTTTTTTAAATTATGACATAAAATACTCTCAACATAATGATTAATGATTAAGAAAAACGCAATTTTGAACGGTCAACGATTTATTAAGAAAATTTGAGGATTTACAAGGTTAGTTACACACAATTGCATAAAGTTCTATAAGTCGAGCCCAGTACGATGGGCGTTGGGCGTTGGGCGTAAGCCCCGACGGCCGAGGCGTAAGTCTCACGGAACTAAGCCCCACGCATAAGCCAAGCGTGTTTTACGAGTGCTCCGCCCCGGGGCGAGTCCCAATTCCAGAGAATCGGATTATAATAGCTTTCACATTTTTTTAAATAAAAAGTATATAAAAGGAGGGGAAACTAAAATTATAGGGGTTTTGACACAGTTACCCACAAAAAAAACTATTTACCCTTGTCTACCCATTTGTTTTCCTACCCATAAACTAATTACATTTCCTACCCATAGTAGGTTTTGTGGGAATTTTTCTTTATTCTCCGGTTCTCTTTTATTTTTATGCTTCTTTTCTCTTCTTTTTTTTTTTCTTTTCTCTTTTTCTTTTTTCTCTTTTTCTTCTTATTTTTTTCTTTTTATCTTTTCTATTTTCATTTATCTTCTTTTTTTTTTATTATTCTTTTTCTCTTCATAATCTAATTTTATTTACTGTTTTCACTATTTTTATTATTCTTTTTTTTTATATATTATTACTAACGAAAAATCAAATTGTGTACCAATTAAATGTAGCTAATACAACCAAAAAAATATTAACTAACATATGATACCAATATAGTATATAGCTATACCAACAGGGTATACAATTGTACGCAAAGAGTTAAAAAAAACTAATTCAATTATTAAACTGAAATAATATCAGTTGTCAATAAAAAATTTAAAAAATTCTAAAAGGATCTAATTGTAAGAGTATACCGTTACATCATATAGCATACTACAATTTTTTTTTTATTTTGCATTTTCAATTTGCCCCTCACGCTTGGTAAAAGCTTAAAACAAATTAAAAGGAAAAAGGCAAGTGAATTTACGGGTAATAAGTATACTATTATAGTATATTGTATACTATTACAGCATATTGTTAGAGTATCTTGCATATTATTATAGTATAGCATAACAATATATTATATACTATAATAGTATACTGTTGCAGTATAACTATATACTCCTATAGTATATTAGTATACTGTAGCGATATACTGTTTTGTAAACTATAATAGTGTACTGTTGCAGTATAGCTATATACTCCTACAGCATATTGTATACCGTAGCGGTATATTGTAGTTGTGTTCTTCTTCGATTTTCAACTGAAAATTTCGATCTCAATCACCTCAAATCAGCTCCAAATGCTATCAAATTTCAGTATGAACTTCCAGAACGTACTATAAGCAATATTTAACAGCACCCACTTTGAATCAAACAAGAAATCTTCAAAAATAAAATTGAGCTTCAAGCCCAACAATGGTGGATATTCTTAGTAATCCTTAATGGGAAGATTCTCAAAGGATGATATTAGCATGGGACCATGCAAATCAATTGGTGTTAGCTCAAAAAAAGTCAATTAATGTGTCTCTGCGTCTGAGGTTGAGTCAAAAACCCATGTAGAGTTTTTTTCCCAGAAAGTCGATAAAGAGGATGATTACCTCTAACTATATTGTTGTTGACTTAGTAGCATCTGGTTCTTCAGGGTCGCTAACTATATGTGGATTCTTGGAGTCTTCCTATTTCGTCAATTGAGGGGTCTAGATTGCAGATGAACCTTATTGCTTTGATATTTTTTCATCGCTTCCATCTCTGGCAAAGCAAGAACTGGAATTAGCGGGTAAATAGTTTGGGCCCCATGGGTAGGAGTAGTAAATAGTTTGGCCCTGGGCATTGAAGGATAAATAGTTTGGAATTAATGGGTATAAAGTGAGATTTTCTCAAAATTATATTGTGGAATTTGAATTATGACTTGTTATTTGACCCAGCTTGAGCTAAACAAAATGGACAAGTTGGACCGTTGACCATTTGTTGATTTGAATTGTTTTGACCCGTCCAAATTTGATTGTCTCAGCTTGAGCTAAGCAAAATGGCCAAATTGGATCACGGTCCATTTGTTGATTTGACTTGTTTTGACCCGTCCAAAATGATTGAACTAGCTCAATATTAGAGATAAGGTTCATTAGTTGTACTGAATATACAGTTACTCATATGTAGTCATACTTGAAATTATTGCATGTCAGTTTGCAAACGCCTTGACTTTTTCCAACCTACAAAAAGATATCGAACAGCTCAGAGACCAAGACTTATCTGATAAAAATATATTGATAACCTCCCTCTAATTTATGGACTAAAGTGGAAACCTTCCAATTTTTACAACAGCTGAGGGCCATACGAACAATGGCGGAATTATTAAATACAGTTTGGAGCATCAAATTGTCTTGAGTTGAATTGATTGGAGATACTAAGAGAAGAGTTGCAAAATATAAGAAACCTTATGAGGGTAGGGTAAAGGATTGTGCTACCTATCCCATTGTAGCTTGATCCAACACAAAAATTTATATTGTGTATATGTGTGAATTCTACAATACACGTACTAGTACAATAACTATTCGTAAAGTTTTTCACTTATAGGAGAGTAAAGAGTAAATTTTACGTATGTGGTATCAGGTATGGATTGAGAAGATTGACATTTCAATTGAAAGAGAAAAATATTTTTTACGAGGAAAACAAGTTGGTTAACTAATGTACAAACAAATCTCCTCCTTATCTCATAAGAAAAATCAAAAGCAGATTTTGTCATAAAGATCTGAGCCAGCGACTTGTTATAACTGAAATGTCCAGCAAGATCGTGGATGACAATTGTAAGATCAATAACGTCACAGGCTTGATTCATGCAAAGTGGAGTGTATGATTTTCAAAATTGAGAATTTTTTTCGCTTACCATATTCGATATCTATGAGATAAGTTCCTTAGAAAAACAAACGAACCATAATCAAACTCATCGCATGATTGCCACCTTAGAGTTAAACTCAAAGGGGAAAACCCCCAATTTTCAAGTTACTCCGCTAATAAATATTATCGCTATATTTTCCACCGTAGGCATACCAAAACTATAACAGCTTTTGTGGGGGGTGGGGGGTTTTGGGGG